ATTATCCTATCACTGACAGCATTGTACTTCAGGACAGATCTTGAAACATCCTTTGTGATGATGAATGCCATGCCATTCTTCTTCAAATTGTCATTTCCTGCATAGTAGATCATATGGTTGTCTAATTCAAAATGTCTGGCCAAAACCCATCCATTTCAGTTCACTAACGCCTAAGATATCAACCTTTATGTGTTCCATTTCATTTTTCACAACTTTTAATTTTCCTAGATTCATACTTCATACATTTCATGTTCTGATTATTAATAGATGTTTGCAGCTCTTTCTCCTCAAATTGAGTCATGCCATGTCAGCAAATGAAGATCCTGAAAGCTTTACTTTATCCGTATCATTAAAGCTGGTTCTACTCTGATGATGCAGCTCTTTCTCATTCATATTTTGAGTGCCTTCCAACCTAAGGGGCTGGTCTTCCTGCACTGTATCGGACAATGTTTCAGGGCTATTCATAAATTTTCCTAGTAATGTGACAGACAGTGTTTCCCTGATATTCATAAGGTTTTCCTTGGCCAATTCTTTGAGAAGTGGATGGCCTCTTTCTCCTTCCTAGTCTGTCTCAGTCTGTGAGCTGTATTGAAACCTGTGACCATATGAAACCCTGCTGGCATTAGAGACATGGGTAGCACAGCCTTAAGCCTCACAGCAACATGCAAGCCACCACAGTACGAAAAACTGACAGAGAAGTTTGTTTCCCTTAGCTGTTTGAAACCTCTCCCCCCTCCCCTTACCTGGATCCCACAGCTCTGTTGTCCTTGGCTTTTTTCCCCCTTCCTGCCTCTTGAGTGTGGAGCCTGTCTGCCTCCCCTTACCTGAGTTCCTGCGTTCTGTCTCAGGATTCCTAGAAGATGGTATTGTTTCTCAAATGGTAAAACACAAATGTAATTTTGCTAGATAATCAATCAAATTATTAAGTCTAATATTAATTTACATTGTTTTCTTGTCAGAAAGAATCGAACAAAGCATATAACTGTGACTATTTAGGTCTTAGAGAAATTCCAGACACTCTACCAAACACAACAGAAGTTTTGGAGTTCAGCTTTAATTTCTTGCCTACAATTCAAAATACAACCTTCAGCAGACTCATTAATCTTATCTTTTTGGATTTAACCAGGTATGTATCTGAGTTTCTTATGCTTTCTTGGCATATTACATAAAAAATAACACATCTTGCATTCTAACTGTTTCCAGGCTTCTTTTACTGTACAGGTATTATCTGGTTATCCTGTATATTATTCATTTCCATGACATATGTTTCTGCAGGTAAAACATAATTGAAAGAAACACCAGATCTGTCAAGATATTACTGGCATGCCTACAGCTTGGCTCAATAATTTTGATATTCAGTGGTAAATAAATCATGTATGTTTATGTTCAAATTTTTCACTCTCTGCATATCATTGGAAACTTGGAACTTTTCTAACTCAGACTTGTACTTAAAGTTTAGTCTCTCTCTCTCTCTCTTTTTTTTTTTTTTTTTTTTTGACACATTTGACGAAGTAGAACGCTGCTGTCTAGGACTTGAATTTCATTTGCTGAAAGAATTTTTTTTTTTTTTTTTTTGACACATTTGACGAAGTAGAACGCTGCTGTCTAGGACTTGAATTTCATTTGCTGAAAGAACACATGACTTTGGTATCACATGGTGAGAGACTTATCAGTGAAAACTGCTCTGAATGTAGTGGCTACATCACTCCCCCAGATCAGTATCTTCAGATCCAGAAAAGAAATATTTATCCAGTGCAGAGGAAAGTGAATGGTTCTCAAACTATTTGTGACAGCAATGTAATTCAGGAAGTTTTAAGGAATATTAATGACAAAAAATAAAATAACTAAATGCACTAAATCAGATGTCATGTTGTACTATATTTTAGCATGTTGTTGTTGTTGTTAGGTACTGCTGAGTCAGTTTCAACTCACAGTGCACCTATGTCCAACAGAACAAAACATTGCCTGATCCTGAGCCATCCTTACAATCATTGCCATGATTTAGCCCATTGTTGTAGCCACTGTGTTAATCTATGTTGCTGAGTGTCTTCCTGTTTTTCACTGACCATGTACTGTACCAAAAATGATGTTCTTTTGCAGGAACTGCTCCCTTCTAGTCGTGATAGCATGACCAAAATAAAAAAGACAAAATCTGACCATTCTCATTTCTACGGAGCTTTCTGGCTGTACTTCTTCCAAGACAGACTTGTTCATTCTTCTGGCCAAACCAAAAGCCAAACTCACTGCTGTTGAGTTGAACCCAACTCATAACAACCCCTCCTTGGGTTTCTGAGGTGGTATCACTATGGAAGTAGATTGCCCAACCTTCCTTCTGAGGAGTGGCTAGAGGGTGTGAACTGCCAGCCTTCTTTCTGGTTAGCAGTCAAATGCCTTAGGTACTATGCTACCAGAGCTCCTACTCTTCTGGCAATCCATGGTATATCCAATATTCTTTGCCAATAACACAATTCAAATTCATCAATTCTTCTGTGGTCTTCCTTACTCATTGTTCACCTTTCTGATGTATGCAAGGCTATTGGAAATACCACAGCTTGGGTCAGGTGCACCTTCATCTTCAAAGTAATATCTTTGTTCTTTAACACATTAAGGAGATCTTTTGCAGCAGATTTGCCCAGTGCAATACATTGTTTGATTTCTTGACTGCTGCTTCCATGGGTGTTGATTGTGGATCCAAATAAAATTAAATTCTTGACAAATTCCATCTTTTTCCTATCCATCATGGTGTTGCTTATTGGTCCAAGTGTGAGGATTTTTGTTTCTTTATGTTGACTTGCAGGTCATACTGAAGGCTGCAGTCATTAATCTTCATCAGTGAGTGTGTCAAGTCTTCTTCACTTTCAGTAAGCAAGGTTGTGTCATCTGCATATTGCAGATTGTTAATGACTCTTCCTACAATCATGATACCACATTCTTCTTTGTATTGTCCAGCTTCTCAGAGTATTTGTTCAGCATACAGATTGAATAAGCATGATGAAAGGATACAATCCTGATGCACACTTTGTTTTAATTTTAAACCATGCAATATCCCCCTGTTCTGTTCAAACCACTACCTCTTGGTGAGTGTACAGGTTCCTCATGAACACAGTTGTGTTCTGGAATTCCCATTCTTTGCAATACTATCCATAATCTGTTACGATCCACACAGCCAAATCCTTTTGCATAACAAATAAAACATAACTAATCACCTTTCTGGGAGCCCTGGTAGCATAGTGCCTAAGGTACTTGACTGCTAACCAGAAGGCTGGCGGTTCAAACCCATCAGCCACTCTTCAGAAGGAAGATGAGGCAATCTACTTCCATAGTGATACTGCCTCGGAAACCAAAGGAGGGGTCACTATGAGTCGGTTCTGACTTGACAGCACATAACAACAACAAAAGCAACAAACATCTTTCTGGTATTCTTTGCTTTCGCCAAGATCCGTCTGACATCAGCAATGATAACCCTCATTCCACACCCTATTCTGAATCTGCCTTGAGTTTCTGATAGTCCCTTGTCATTATACTGTTGCATTTTTTAATTATCTTCAGCAAAATTTTACTTGTGTGTTATATTAATGATATGGTTCTATAATTGCCACCTTCTGTTGGATCACCTTTCTTTGGAATGGACACAAATATGGATCTCTTCCTGTTGGTTTGCCAGGTAACCGTCTTCCAAATTTCTTGGCACAAACAAGTGAGTGCCTCTAGTGCTGTACCAATTTGTTGAAACATCTCAATGAGTATTCTATCCAATTCTGGAGCATTGTTTTTCACCAAGGAGCTCTGGTAGCACTTGACTGCTAACCAGAAGGCTGGCGGTTCAAACCCACCAGCCACTCCCCAGAAGGAAGGTTGGGCAATCTACTTCCATAGTGATACTGCCTCGGAAACCCAAGGAGGGGTCACTATGAGTTGGATATGACTCTACAGCAGTGGGTTTGATTTGGTTTGGGTTTTATTTTTCACCAATTCCTTCACTGCAATACCAAGGGTTCTTCCTTCGATACCAAGGGTTCTTGATCATGTCTTCCCTCCTGAAATGGCTGAATGTCAACCATTTCCTTCTAGCACACTCTGTGTATTCCTTACACCTTATTTTGATGTTTTCTGCATCTTTCAATATTTTGCCCTTAGAATCTTTCAATATTGCAACTCAAAGCTTGATTTTTTTTTTTCATTTCTTTCATGTTGTGAAATGCTGAATGTATTCTTCCCCTTTGATTTTCCATCTCCAGATCTTTGCACATGTTATTATAACACTTGACTATGTCCTCTCTAGCTACGCTTGGAAATCTTCTGTTCAGATCTTTCATTTCATCATTTCTTCCATTAGCTTTAGCTACTCTACTTTTATGAGCAAGTTTCAAAGTCTCTTCTAACATCACTTTTCATCTCCTCTTCCTTTCTTATCTGTTTAATGACCTTATGCCTTCTTCATGCATGATATTGATGTGATCCCACAACTTGTCTGGTCTTTGGTCACTGGTGTTCAATGCATCAAATATATTCTTCAGATGGTTTTTAAATTCATGTGGGATATACTCAAGGCAAGATTTTGGCTCTCATTGGCTTATTTCAATTTTTTTCACCTGCATCTTAAACTTGCATGTGAGCAATTTGTAGTCTGATCCACAGTTTACCCCCAGCTTTGTTCTGACTAATGATATTGAGCTTCTCCATCATCTCTTTCCACAGGTGTAGTTGATTTGATTCCTGTTTATTCCATCTGGTGAGGTATAAATATATAGCTGCCATTTGTGCTGTTCAAAAAATGTATGCAATGAATAAGTCATTGGTCACACAAAATTCTATCATGTGATCTCCAACTTCATTTCTATTTTGGTGATAGTTGTCCTAGTGGGAATGAAATGGTATCTCACTGTGGTTTTGATTTGCATGTCTCTGATAGCTAATGACATTCAATATTTTATGTCTTTGTTGGCCATTTGAGTGTCCTGTTAGGTGAAATGTCTATTCAAGTCTTTGCCCATTTTGTGATTGGGTTATATATGTTTTTATTGCTAAGTTGTCAAAGCCTTTTACATATTTTGGTTATTAGAACCTTGTCAGATATGTGGTGTCTGAAAATATTCTCCCAGTCAGTACCTTATCTTTCCACTTTTTTGGTAAACATTTTTGATGAACAAAAGTTTTTAATTTTTGTGAGGTCTCATTTATTTGTTTTTTCTTTTGCTGTTTGGCTTTTGTTATTATATTTGTTACTCCACTGTTGAAAGCTGGGCCTGACAGACTGTTCATTTTTAAGAATTTTATGGTTTTAATTTCCACATTTATGTCTTTAATCCCTTTTGAATTTGTTTTGTGTATCATGTGAAGCATGGATCCTGTTTCATTTTTTTGTATATGGAAATCCATTTTTTCCAGAACCATTTACTGAAGAAATTCTTCTTTCCCCATTGAATGGATTTAGCACTCTTGTCAAAAATCAGTTGACCATAGATATGTGGACTTATTTCTGGACTCTCAATTCTCTTCCATTAGTCTATGTGTCTCTTGTTATAGCAGTACAAAACTGTTTTGATTATTGAGGCTATATAGTATGTTTTAATCAAGAAGTGTGAGACCTCCTCTGTTCTTCTTTCAATACTGTTTTAGTAATGCAGGATTTCTTGCTATTCCATGTAAAACTGAGCATTTGTTTTTCTATTTCCATAAAGAATGCTGTTGAAATTTTTATCAGGATTGTGCTGAATCTATACATCACTTCCAGAGGTTTGTGATAGGACCACCTATCCTACTTGAGGCTCACACTTTATCTTCTGCCTCTGGTACATGTGGCTTATTAAAACCTGGGCTCTAGACCACCACAGAGAGACAGATTTTCCTGGATAAGGCTAGTTCCAGGGCACAGTTGCTCCTACAAATTCAACTTTCCTTTTCACAATGAATTTCTAAAGAAATTCTGTAATTCTTGTCCAAGTGAGTGAAGCATTTATACATATCATGTCTAGTATTTTTAGTTGTGCAATACCAGGATCAGTTTCTCTCAATCTCTAGTGTTCCATACATCTATAGAGCATTTTTACACATATTGTATCATTTGCCCAAAACAATCTTACAAACTAAATATTATTTCTATACATTATAGATGAAAAACTGAGGCTGCAAAAAGTTGTGCCTTGTCAAAAGTACCACAGATTCATATAGTATATTTTATACATCACACATCATGTATTATGTGACTCAGATGATATTTTATACATTATTTAAGATAGTGTATAACTTTTGGTTTTGCCTATATTTGAACCACTAATTGTTCTCTATATGACAAATGAGAAGTTCTAAGAATTTACTTTAAAGAGATCAAATATCTGAAAATAATTCCAAATCAGAACGTTTCAAATTGAAGCTATTCATTAATAATTTAATTGGCCATCTTCAAGTAGGGGAGAGTTTCTTTATGTTAGAGTATAGGAACTCTGGTGGTGTACTGCCTAAGGCACTTGACTGCTAATCAAAAGGCTGGTGGTTCAAACCCACCAGCCACTCCTTGGAAGGAAGGTTGGGCAATCTACTTCTGTAGTGATACCGCCTTGCAAACCCAAGGAGGGGTCGCTATGAGTGCATGCCTGCTGAATGTTTTTACTATTTGCAAAAGATAGCTTTGTAGCATATGTCATTGTGACAGTTTTTTTTTTCTTCCTTTTTTCTAATGCATTATTGTTAAATATGATTATCTTTTTAAGGTGCCAGATTAACTGGTTACATGAAGATATTTTTCAAAGCCATGATCAACTAAGCACAATTATATTGACTGGAAATCCCCTGATATTCATGGCAGAAACATCACTTAATGGGCCCAAATCTCTGAAGCATCTCTTCTTAATCCAAACAGGAATATCTAATCTTGAATTTATCCCAGTTCACAATCTGGAAAACTTGGAAAGCTTGCATCTTGGAAGTAATCATATTACCTCCATTAAGCTCCCAGCAAACTTCCCAACAAAGAATCTGAAAGTCCTGGATTTTCAAAATAATGCTATACACTACCTCACTAGAAAAGACGTGGAATCTCTGAAGCAAGCCACCAACCTAAGCCTTAATCTCAATGGCAATGACATTAAAAGTATTGAGCCTGGGACTTTCCATTCAAAAATCTTCCAGAATTTGAACTTTGGAGGGACTTTTGATGTGTCTATCATTTTAAAAGGTCTGCAGAATGCTACTGTTCAATCTCTTTGGCTTGGGACATTTGAGGACACTGAGGACCAAGACCTTAGTTCAGCCATGCTTCAAGGACTTTGTGAAATGTCTGTTAAGAGCATCAACCTTCAGAAGCACCATTTCTCTGACTTCTCGCCTGCCACCTTTCAGTGCTTCAACCAACTCCAGGAATTGGATCTGACGGCAACTCATTTGGATGGGTTACCCTCTGGAATTGAGGGTTTGAACTCACTCAAGAAATTAATTCTCAATGTAAATAATTTTGATCAATTGTGTCAAATCAATGCTGCCAATTTTCCCTCACTTACACACCTCTACATGAAAGGCAACACAAAAAAACTTGACCTTGGTTCTGGCTGTTTAGAAAGGCTACAAAATCTTCTGAAGCTTGATTTAAGCCACAGTGACATTGAGGCTTCCGACTGCTGCAATCTACAACTCAAAAGCCTGCTTCAATTGCAATACCTAAATCTAAGCTACAATGAGCCTCTTGGACTCCAGAGCCAGGCATTTAAAGAAAGTCCTCAGCTTAAACTCCTGGATTTGGCATTTACCCACTTGCAAGTTAATGTTCCACAAAGTCCTTTCCAAAACCTCCATCACCTGCAGGTTCTCAATCTCTCTTACTGCCTCCTTGATACCAGCAATCAGCGTCTTCTAGCAGGCCTGCCGGAACTCAGGCATCTGAATTTACAGGGAAATCACTTTCAAGATGGTAGCATCCCAAAGACCAACCTACTTCAGACAGTGTACAGTCTGGAGATTCTAATTTTAGCCTTCTGTGACCTCCTCTCCATAGACCAGGGAGCATTTCACGGCCTTGAAAAAATGCATCATGTAGACTTAAGCCACAACAATTTGACAGGCAATAGCATTGGTGCTCTTAGCCATCTTAAGGGGATCTATCTCAATTTGGCGGCCAATAGCATTAACATCATTCCACTCCGTCTCCTCCCCATCTTGTCCCAGCAGAGTACCATTAATTTAAGTCACAATCCCCTGGACTGCACTTGCACTAACATTCATTTCATAACATGGTTCAAAGACAACCTGAAAAAACTTGAGGGTTTAGAGGAGACCATGTGTGCAAACCCCCCACATTTAAGGGGAGTTAAGCTGTCTGATGTCAAGCTGTCCTGTGGGATGACAGCTGTGGGCATTTTCTTTCTCACAGTATTTTTATTCTTGTTCACCATTCTGCTTATTTTTTCATTTAAGTTCCTTCTTAGATGGAAATACCAACACATTTAGTGTTGAGGATTTCCAGAGAAGGCAAATAAAGGTGTTTCACAAAATTGGCCTAAATGAAAAAACTGTCATCTGTTGCTGATCAGACTCTTCAGGGTGATTCACGGGGCTAGGCAGGAGTTCACTGTGCTTTACTGAGCATCTTACCCTTGCGAGAGCCTGCAAATGAACCTCACTGGCAGGCAAACTGACTGATGTCAGGCATGGTTGTGTTGTTGTTGTTACGTGCCATCAAGCCGGACCTAACTCACAGCGACCCCTCCTTGGGTTTCTGAGGTGATATCACTATAGAAGTAGATTGCCCAACGTTCCTTCTGAGGAGTGGCTGGTGGGTGTGAACCGCCAGCCTTCTGGTTAGCAGTCAAGTACCTTAGGCACTACGCTACCAGAGCTCCCAGGCATGGCTGTGAGAAATGCAGTTCATTTCCTCACATGGAAGGTAGTGGAAGTTGAGGGAGGATTTGCAGCAAGGAGAGTACAACACAAGGAGGCCATATTCCTTCCATTCAGGGATCTCCTTCCCAGCACCCCCTAACCCATCCCTGAAAGGTCATGATCAACCCCCACAACTTGGCAGCACTGAAGCTCTCCCACTCGCTGTCTTTCACCCACCATTGAAGTATTGTGCTTGGGTCTGGGTTATGGTAATGGAACCAAAGGGAAACTTAATGGAAGACAACATCTCAATTCTTATGTTAAATGGAAAAAGAAAAACACAATGAATTTAAGAGAAAAGGCTGAGAAATGAATCCTGCCATCAAATAGACTCCATGAATCCTCTTAATCCTTTACTCATGGTGACCTCATGTCTCCACAGTGTCCCTTGGGTGCAAATGGCTATTTTAAAAAAAAGACACCCCTCCTGCCCAGAGGTTTAGGGTTTCTGCCATATTTGCTGCACTTAGTTTGGAGCCAGGGAGACTCCCATGTGTTGGATGTTCTCCCTCTTACATTACAGGCCCTACCTTACTGGTGGGCTGTGGTTCAAAATGCTCTTCTCATGGGAATGTCTGATCCTTAGAAGCCTCTTTCCCACAGCATCAGTGAGATAAACTGGATTTGCTTCTCAGGCTGTCCTTCAAAAGCTTTTTACCTCAGAGAGCATTTAAGAGGATATATTTACAATGAAAACAAGTGGAAGAAAACATCCCAAACACTAGCTGTTGCCACCACAATAAAGCTGGCTTCACAAGAAATAGTTTCTGTTCAAGGTGGTTGTCAACAAAGTTTAGATCAGTGACAAACAGTGGACAAGACCATCCAATGCAGATAGATAAAGAGGACAGACAGTTGATAATGTTATGACTAGTTTTGCCAAGACTCAAAGGGTCACATTTATATAGGAATCCAGCTTTTGAAGTCTGGACTCCTGGGCAAGGGAAGTGAAGCTCTTGTGCTTGGATTTGTTGCACTTACACGGCCTTGGTTAAGTTCTAGAACCTATTTTAGGTGGTTGTTGTTAATTCCCTTGAGTCAGTTCTAACTCATGACAATCCCATGGTAATTTATACTTAGAACTTCAAATAGAATATCAAAATAAAACTTGACCAACTTTACTATCTCATCAGAAATGTATTAATCCTTTGGTTGAGGGTGTAATTGTAGGGTATAGTGTTGTTGTTGTTAAGTGCCATCAAGTCGTCTCTGACTCATAGTGACCCTACTGACCTTATGCAAAGCAGAACGAAACACCGTCTGGTCCCCCGCCAGCTCCACAATCCTTGCTATACTTGACCCCATTGCCGCAGCTGCTGTGTCAATCTATCTTGTTGAGAGCCTTCCCCTCTTTCGTTGACCCACCACCTTATGAAGCATGATATCCTTCTCCAGGGAATGGTCCCTTCTGACAATATGACTAAAGTAGGTGAGATGAAGTCTGGCCACTCTCGCTTCCAAGGAACATTGCAGCTGCACTTCCTCCAGGACAGATTTGTTAGTTCTTTTAGTGGTCCATGATATTTTCAGCATTCTTCGCCAGCACCACATCTCAAAAACATCAATTCTTCTTTGGTCTTCCTTATTCATTGTCCACCTTTCACATGAGAGGCAGTTGAAAATATCATGGCTTGTGTCAGGTGTGCCTTAGTCCTCAAGGAGACAGGTTTGCTCCTCAGCACTTGAATGAGGTCCTTAGCAGCTGACTTGCCCAGTGCCATACATCATTTGATGTCCCGACTGCTGCTTCCATTTGTGTTGATTGTGCTGTTGTGCTGTTATGTGCGGTCGAGTCGGCCCCGACTCATAGCAACCCCTCTTTGGGTTTCCGAGGCAGTATCACTACGGAAGTAGGATTGCCCAACCTTCCTTCCGAGGAGTGGCTGGTGGGTTTGAACCGCCAGTCGTCTGGTTAGCAGGCAAGTGTCTTAGCCACTATGCTACCAGAGCTCCATGAAGTCCTTGACAACTTCAATTTTTTCTCCATATATGGTGAGACTGCTTATAGGCCCAGTTGTGAGAATTTTTGTCTTCTTTATATTGAGATATAATGCAAACTGCAGACTGTATTCTTCAATTTTCATCAGTAAGTGCTTCAAGTCATCCTCATTTTCAGCAAGCAAGCACATTGCGGGCTGTTAATGATTCTTCCTCCAATCTTGATGCCACGTTCTTCTTCATATAGTCCAGCTTCTCAGATTGTTTGCTCAGCATATAGATTGAATAAGTATGGTGAAAGGATACAACACTGATGCACTCCCTTCTTGATTTTAAACCATGTAGTGTCCCCTTGTTCTGTTCAAATAACAGCCTCCTGGTCTCACTGATGTTGTGGGAAAGAGACTTCTAAGGACCAGACATCCCCATGAGAAGAACATTTTGAACCACAGACCACCTGTAAGGTAGGAACTATAGTATAAGAGGGAGAACATCCAAAACATGGGAGTCTCCCTGACTCCAAAATAAGTGCAGCAAATGTGGCAGAAACCCTAAACCTCTGAATAGCCTGGAAACATTATCCAATACGGTGCAGGAATACGAGCCCTTAGGTCAGAAGGCTTTCAAAATATGACTATGAAAGAGCTGCGTCATCAGAGTAGGACCAATCTTACTGATATGAATAAAGTAAAGCTTTTGACACCTCCATTTACTGATGTGGCCCCACTTAAATTGAGGAGAAACAACTGCAAACATCCATTAATAATAAGAACATGGAATGTACGAAGTATGAATCTAGAGTATATAGTAAGAGAGGAAATTAGAAGACCAACTCCTCTTTAGCTTTTTCTCCCAGAAAAGGCAGAAAAGACAAGGAAACAAGCAGTGAAGTGAAGCAATAAACTTTCCCTATAAATGCTCTATTACTCTTGGGGGATTAGCTGACAGTACTGGATGGGAAGCCATTTTGTCCCAGATATCTTTGGTTGTTGATGCAGGTTTGGGACTAGGGTAAGGCAAGTGAGGCAATGGGCTTAGGTGAAAAAGTAAAAGGGTGCCAAGAACCTCTGTAATTAAGGTAAATATATTTCAATGTAATGTTTGTAAAAATAAAAAAGGCAAAAAATTCACATTGAACAAAATATCAAAATTCTAAGTAAAGACAGAGCTGTGGCAAATCATATTAAGGCCTGAGGCAAAAGAGAAAACTCAGTAACACTGACTCTGTCTTTATGTGAAATGTTGGTATTCTGTTCATCATGGACTATTTTGCATTAATTTTGATTTTTTAAAATATTATATTAGACATTAATATTGTATAGTTTACCAGTCAATAATGTTTATTATTATTTTATAATCTATTATCATAAACTTCATTCCTGAATTTTTTTGAGCCACCCTAAATTTAGCACCTAAGGCAAATACCTTACTCACCTCGGCCTAGTCTTAGCCCAAAGGATTGGTGGAGGTGAAAAAACTCAAACCAAAATCCAAACCGCACTGCCATCGAGTCAATTCTTACTCATACCATCCCCCACTGGGTCTCTGAGGTGGTAAATCTTTATGATAGTAGATTGCCCCATCTTCCTTCTGCAGAGTGGCTGGTGGGTTTGAACAGCCAAACTTCTGGTTAGTAGTCAAATGCTTCAGGCCACAGTTTACCTACGGCCTATAAGCAAGTGCCTGTTCCAGTTCTACTCAAGAGTATTGGTTTCCTTCCACATCACTCTGTGGAAATATCTTACACCTCATTTCCACATCCTCAGCGAACTCTCAACTCCTGGGCTTAAAGGCATCCCTCTTTCAAAGGCAAATCATAGATAGAGATGAATGGGTACCACATCCTGCTATGCTCTGGGTGGCTTGGGTCTGGTTGAACCCTTCTCTGCTAATGAAATTAAAGATAAGTAATTAACATGCAGCAGGTGCTTTATTTATGTGAAATACTAGCATATGGGAAAACAAGTATGGGAGGAGCTTTCCTGAGGAAATGGAAAGGGCATTGGAGAATCAGTTTGTTCAGGATGCATTTTAAAGGAGATTTTCAGCTGGAAACATAAAGTAAGTGGGACACACACCTTTCAGCTCCCTCTACTTCTGGGCCTAAGATGGTGGAGCATCCTTCTGAGAGGGTGCATCATGAGCTGCAGCTGGGTGATGGCCTGGACTCTGCAGCAACCCAGGTTTTTCCTAACTGGGTTTTGGGTTGAAACGACATCTAAAAGTGGATAAATGAGTAGAGCTGCCTCAATGTTTTCTAACCTGTGGAGCCAGGATCCTTCTTCCAGCTTCCTTACTGCTGCTACAGAAAAGGATCTTTGATCAGGGGACCTAAAGGTAGCTGTGGTTGAGCGAGCTCAGGCAACCAACCTCCCCAAGTTAGAAAGGGCATTTTGCACTGACCCACCAACCCATGCTTCCATCTCTTCGGCAAAGATCACTCACCTTTGGGAAATTAGGCAGGAATGCAGCAGGATGCATAGGGTAGGTAAGTTTGTGTGTCGACTTGGCTGGGCCTGGTTCAGTGGCTGGGCAGCTGGATATAGTTATTCCTCATGGTAAGACTGGTAAATAACTCCATGGTGGAATCTATCGGAGCAGCTGAGTAGCTGTTTCAGGGGGTGTGGTCT